TCTCAGGGGGACTATCATTACCAGAGTGGGAGTGATGAAGGGAAATTAAACACAAACTGACTGGTCAGTCCAAACTAGATAAGAGTTGTGATATGAACACGAAGGGGATCAAAACATGTGGGGAGCAAATCAGCTTATAGGACACAAGGGATTTTGGTGTATTAAGACAGCAATTTCATCAACACAAGCGAAAATAAGCAGCTACAGTGGAGCTGTGTACTGTAAATCTACAGCTTCCTCAGCATCTTTAGGCTGCCAAACCCTGACAGTCCAGTGTGTGCACCTGCTTTTACTGAAGCACTCGAGCCCAGGTGATATGGCTCAGAAACACAACATGCAGAACCCAGTAAAGTCTTTTTTTTTCTCTAAAGACACGTGCGCATTTGCTATCCTGATACAAAGCTCCAAAGAGGACAGCGCGTTGTTTTAGCATCTTCTTTCCTCTACAAACTCCTGACTGAAGTGGGAGCCGCACCGCACGTGCTTATTATGAATGGTAGCTGTAATTTAACTCATCTTACCTGTTTCTGTAGCGACTCCGTCTCTTCAGCTCCTCTTAGCGACGTAGCTGCTGTTTATTTACGCACAGTCCCGTTCCAGCGCCGACGAGCCTCTTCTTTCTCCTCCTCCTGCTGTTGCTGCACTTGCCCCTCTCGCTCTCTCTGCCTCACTGGTCCTTCTCTCCTCTCCCACCAGTTTCACACGCGCGTGCGCGCGCTGTCACAGGCAGAGGAGCTGCGCGCGCTGCAGCGCCGCTGCTGATGCGTGGTGGCCTCGAGGCACTGAAGCAACCCAACAAATTGTTACACAAATAGACACAGAGTGCTTTAGCCTTCCAGGAGCTTCAGCTGGACAACAGCTGTTTGAGGTTTTAATCATAGAACAAACCAAAAGTTGTTCATTAAGGAGCTCAGCAATGTCCGCTTGTTGGTATTTAACAGCAGGGAGCAGCTTTTAGTTCTATACGGGAATACATTTTCAAAGTGGGGATTTTGGAAATGTAACATAGCTACTCTCAACAACCAAACTCTGCTTTAAGCTTTTATTGTTTCATATTTTAAAGAGAGCTCTTTGCTCTCAGACCTGGGTTCCTATGGGTTTCTAAAAGTGGGAGGCAGAGCTTCGTTATCAGGTTCCTCTCTTGTTGAACCAACTCCCACTTTCAGTCCATGAGGTGAGTTTTTTAAACTAGACTTGAGACTTTATTTTTGTTAAATCCTATTCGCACTATACTCTGCTGTAATTGCACATCTGCGTTTCTTGTCTGTATTGTGATACTTCACTTAACAGTTATTGGTCTGTTGAGATTGTTTATGCACTCAAAACAAGCAATTTCTGATTCCTAATGTTGGATTCTGAAACAAAACATATTTTTCTATTCTTGAACAATTCTTTATATTATCCATCCATCCATCCATTTTCTGTACACGCTTCTTCCTTTTCAGGGTTGTGTGGGTCACTGGTGCCCATATCCAGCAGTCACAGTGCGAGGGGCGGGGTACACCCTGGACAGGTCGCAAGTCCATCACAGGGCCACACATAGAGACAAACAAGACAAACAACCACTCACTCTCTCACTCACACCTAGGGACAATTTAGAGTTATCAATTAACCTAACAGACATGTTTTTTGGTCTGTGGGAGGAAGCTGGCGTGCCCGGAGAAAACCCACGCATGCACAGAGAGAACATGCAAACGCTACCCAGAAAGGTCCCCGGACCGGGATTTGGACTGGTGACCTTCTTGCTGAGAGGCATCAGCTCTACCAACTGAGCCACCGTGCCGCTCTTTATATTATATTTTTATTATTAGTAGATGTATCATGGCTAGTCAGTGTTAATTTTGTTTTGTGTGTACTGTCTATAGTTTGTGAAGTAACTAGTATGTGAACTTTTGTACTGATGCTGCTGTGACACCTGAATTTCCCCGCTGCGGGACAATAAAGGCTATTTATATTCTATTCTATTCCATTCTATAGTTTAGGTTTCCTGAGTTATCCTGTTAAGCTGCTATAGACTGCTGGAGGTTTCTTCTAATTAGAAGGGAGTCATTCCTTTCCACTGTCGCCAACCTGTGGCTCAGCATAAGAGATTGTGCATAATCTCTGTGCATGTGTGGTTTTTCTTCAGGTACTTTGGTTTTCTTTCCCCAGACCAAAAACATGAATGATAGGCTAATTGGTAACTCTAAATTGTCCTTAGAAAGTTAATGGTTGTTTGTCTTTTTTGTGTATGTGGCCCATGTGGTACACCCTACCCTTCGCACAGTGACTGATGGATATGGGTATCAGTGAACCTGAAAGGAAGAAGCGAGATAATGGATGGAAATCTTATAATGAACTATATGTGAATGTATTTCATTAGAGCAGAAATTAATGGACTGTAACTGGGCTTGAATCAGAATAAATGACTTGGACCTGTTTTTGTTTCTTTTGTAGCTACAGTGTCTTGAGATAGCTTTAGTTGTGAACTGGTCCTAAAGACAACTGAATAAAATTGTTTGGGCAGTAATTGTCAGAAGCCAGTGACATCCTCTTATTGAGTAGTGGGCGCCAATCATCACATACATCAACAAGGATTCTGCTTGATGAGGCCGTGTGACTTTATTAGCACATTTTCCCTTTGTTCATTAGTCCATTGGTTTATCTTCTATCCAGTGCTGCTTACTTTTTTCTTCATCTCTGGCTTTGAAATGGCAGCCATCTGCTGCCACAGAATCAAACCCATAGAGTAAAAGACGCCCGTATCCCCATAAAGGCGAGTCGAGTTTGCCAAACAAACATAGTTTGCGGTTCGAGACGTGATCCAAAAGCTGGTTCACTGAGATAAACAAATTAGGTGGAGATGTGAAGCAAACAGAGAATGGGTTTAGGCTTTAGATAGGCAATCATCTGGGACTCGGCTACGCTCAACTGCAGATAACAAGCCGACTGAAGGGCTTTAAAGGAGTAGTTCAGATCTTTGGTGTGGGGTTCTGGGGAAAGTTATGACCAATTTATGTCTTGCTTTTTGTAGAGTTATTTGAATGACTTTCGTTTCGAGGAACAGAGATTAACCATGACTGGATTCAGAAAGCAACATGCCATTTGACTAAAGCCATCCTCTCGAGGTGATTTGCGATTCTCATCCACCTCGGAGACATTTGTAATTGTCCTTGCCTCTCATTTTAGATTGCCTCCAGATATCTCTGCAGAAGTCTTGGATCTCATTATAAATTTTCCCATGCATATTATCTGTAAAATACTCTGAGGAATTTTTTGAAGTTCAAGGATGTTGCACCTTAGAGACAAAGTATGGCACTTTGCAAGATGTCACCATACGTTCATTAAATACAAAAAGCCACTGGAGACAACGTAGTCTTTTCATGTCTCACAGTCTTGTTTTTATTTTTATTTTTTGAATTTATTTTCAAGAAGGAAAAGGAAGAATGAGTCTATTGTGTGCAGATTATCTATCATGAATATTTTGGTGTTAATTTTTAATATATCATTTTGTTATAAATCAACACTCCAAAGCAAATTATGTGTTAATGAGCTGGGTTTATTTGCTACGGCTAAGCGTGAGGTGTAATTGAGGAGTTGCCACCTTGAGTATAAACAGTTGTTGCAAAAAAAAAAAAAAAAAAAAAAAAAAACCAAAGGTGGGAGAACATCCTTAATACACAATTAAACAAAGAACTAAAGGGACACATTTGTGTTTACAGTCTGGAGGTTGTGCCAAAAGGTGTGAAAGAAAATGAAATTAGTGATGTGATTACTGCTGGAAAACCAGCTCGCATGTCAGATCTGTTTACATCAGAGGGGGATACATTTCGTCTCTCAGTGTGGGGTGTAATTACACTCAGAGTTCTTTAAGATTGCGTGCAGGCAGCATTTACTAGTTGAATAACCAGTGGGCACTGAACTGATCAGAATAATTAAAAGGTTAGTTGGGCTCTTTTAAAATGAGATTCTGCGGAAAGATTATGAATAGTTAATAGCTTACCTGTTGGAGATAGCTTACTGAATGACATGTTTGGAGAAATGGAGTCGTTATTCGGAATTTAGTGGTGTTTGTATGAACTGCAGTACAATGTTTTTGAAATTGAAATTATTTAAAGGTGGCAGCAATCCATTTTAGATCTAGGCTCATCTTAAACCTCATCACTCTGGTCAACATTAAAGTCTATTATTCAAACCGAGGTTGTTTTTTTTTACTCCATGTAATATCTTTAACCACAGAAACAATCGCTCTGCCATCTTTTTTTTTTTCATGAAAAACAGGCAGACGATTGGAGCAGCTCTAGGGAAAAGGGGGAGGGTGATTTTGATTAACAAACACATGGCACCGCCCACATGACGTGATGATGTCATACGGCGTACATGATGACGTAACTTGTTCAAAAATCGAACTGTTCGATGGAACAAATGGCTCGTCAGGTTCCGGGTCCCTTCAAAGAACCATTCATCCCATCTCTATGACACAACATGAAAGATGGTTTAAAACCCTAGCAGGGAAGGCAATGGATTGTAGACAGTACAGTATCTCGCAAATGTGAGTACACCCCTTACATTTAAAAAACATTTTAGTTAATCTTTTCATGGGACAACACTGAATACCTGGCACTTTGATACAATAGTGTACATCTTGTATAACTGTGTAAATTTGCTGTCCTCTCAAAACAACTCAACACACCAATAAATGTGTAAACGTCTGGCAACAAAAGTTGGGGGTGTACTTACTCTGTGTGATACTGTTTGTAGTTTTAATATTTTAATGCATTTGTTAGTTTTCTTTTGGCTGTTCCCCTTTTCGAGGGTTGCCACAGTGGTTCAACTCCCACAAAGAAATTGGACATTTTTTTTAATTTTTCTGGATGCCCTTCCTGACAACCTGGGCTCAAACCTGTAGCCTTGAAAACACAAGACTACGGCACTGACCACCAAACTACTGCAGCCCTTTTTATTTATTTGTATTTGCACAAAATCTATTTGTGCAACTAAAATAGAGAAGAAATATCTGTGAACCACCCTCATCTGTAAATGCAATGCCTCATTCCTTCACTTTGGTTACTCGAATACAATCACAAACTCCTAAAACACTAAAGGCAAACATCAATTCAGTTCAAAAATATAATTTTTTGATTTTCACCAAGCATTTATCTGTGCTGCTGTTAAATTCCAGTTAAAACTATGTTTATAAATGTTTTGCACTCTGTGATGTTTCTCCCTGCCACACCCCCACCCCAAGCACCTTTTCCTGCATCCTCTGCCTCCTTAAGCCAGCCCTGTTTTCGTGTGTGTGTGTTTGTAAGCAGTCGGCGAGGAGCTGTCGGTGCACGAGTTTATGCTGGGGGGAAATGTGACTCATCACAAGCTAGAGCCGTTATCCAGCTGCCTGAGCACAGCCTCGCAGTCAACTCGCCTCACCTTCCCTGATTTTATGACTGGTAGCTCAGGGATGAGCAGTGAAATTACATTCCCCTGACAAACACAGCCCTGCCTTTACAAGATAAGATTTGAGTAAAGAGACGCACACTCACAGGAACTAGTGGGTTCTCTAACCGTATGATGCGGTTTTTGTTTTGCAAATTAGAAATATCTAATTAAGCCGAGCACCTCGGATCCTGAGCCATGAAGGTTTATCAGTCGAAATCTTTGTTGGGTTAATTAAGACAGTTGTGAGTACATGTTGTCAACTTAATATTTACCCTGCTTAATATCCTCAGACTGTCAAAGAAGCTGGAGCTTTACTCGGATATTAATCAGCTTATCTTCAAATAATTAGAGAAGTCAGGGTGCTGTATAGTTCAGATGTGTTTTAATTACAATCTCTTTTTTTTTTTTACATAGGACCAACAGGGGAAGAGTGAAATTACATAAATCTATGAGATACAGTATCTGTAGCCATTTCACCACTCCAGGCCCTCTGGGAGTGACTCGCAAATCTTGGTGTCGGTTCTACAGTCTACTTGACCTGATTAGGCCTGGAAACGGACATCTGCAGTGCAGGTTTTAGCAGCAAATAGGAGACTCTTTTGGCAAGTCTTCAACAACAACAACAAAAAAATCAATGCTAAAACAATCTTCAGATATGACCTGCATCGTTTCAACAAACATTACAGTACAGGAGAGTGGCAACTTAAAGGAAAGCAGGAAAGGTGAGAGAGGTTTCTGAGAAAAAGGCATCAAAAGAAAAAACAGGATAATCTGAAGACTCGGGGAAAGAATTAACGTAAAAAATTAAAATAAATAAGCTAAAGCAATAAATCAACATTATAACAGCTACTCTAGTTTGATTCTTGTTCAATAAACTTGAGATTCAAACATTTTTAGTTTCCTATTCGTATCAGAATTACATGTAATACTGTAACACCTGATGGGTCCTCATCTAGAGATAAATATTAATTCAATAAAAATTATACAATTTACCCATAGCTGCATAATTAAATGAGCAAATCTGAGAAATGTTACATGTGCTGTAGGTGACCTGGATTACACAATTTGAAAATATTTAAAACATTTTAGTTTTACAGATAGCTAAAGGTTGACTCAGTAATACAAACAAAAACTTCATACTGTAGATAATTTTGAATGAGTACATAAATATAAGCTGTCTTTTCTTTTAATTAACAAAAAGCTGATGTTTAGAAAATGCAAGTTGTGAAAAGTTGTAACTGCCTCAAAAAGTTTCTGTAGTTGAAAATTTAATTGTTTTAAACTGTTTTTTTTCCACAGTAAGACCAGATTTAGCTTGTCTATATGCCTCATAGTAGCAAGGAACCAGCAGCTTTTTTCCCTTTTAGCTTTTAAAACAAGAAATGAGTGAAAAGGGTTGGGTCAATTGAGGCAGTTCACATAGCAATATGTTTTTTATTGTTCTAAAATGTGTTTTTTTATACATAATTTTAGTCATGTGTTATAGAAGCCCCCAAACTGTATTTCTTTTTTTTTTCTTAATGAGGTTTCAAATTTAAAGAACATCTTCTAACACCACCTTTGTGTTTTGAAGAAACAGTAAAAACACAATAATTCAAATATGAAATTCAAGGTCGACGACGCCTTCTTCTTTTCGTCATGTTTGAATGGCGCACCCAGCATGCAAGCTTTATGGTCCATACTTTTTTGTTTGTTTGTATGTGGCAGCGTTACAGCGCCACTTGCAGGCCTGGCATAGTTACAACAACATTGTGGGTCATTTTAGGTGTTTTTGTGTGGATGAAGACTATTTTTAAAACAGTGCCACCTTTCCAAGGATTTTGTTTTCGAAACAAGTAAAAAATTTGTTTTGGAAAAACTGTAGCCACAAACTAAAGAAGCACAACGCCCCAAAATATGAACAATTACTCTGGACGTCTTTGCAAACACGGGTGATATTATTTCCTATATTGGGAGGTTTTCAAAATTAAAAGCCATTTTTAAAATGAGGTTTTTGAAAGTAGGCTAAAATTAGATATATTTTATTTGCCAAAGTAGCTGGCAGAGAAAAAAATACTTTTGTAGGAAGTGCCAAACGTGTTGGCACATTAATGTTACAAATATCGGTCCAAGAGTTGTTGAGGAGTAAGAAGGTGTTTTGCATGCTGGATGCATTTACACATTGTGTTTCAGAACTACTGGTCAAAAATTCTTAACTTTGACACATTAAATGGGGTAAAGTGAAATATTTGGGTACAATTGGAACTGGGGAAGCAGTTGGGCAAGAAAACAGGACTTTCCTTGGATTTATAGCTTGGAGGATAGACCGTTATACATGTCAGCTTTAAGCCTGACCCACTCTGTCACCCTCTGGATGGAGCTTTTTTCTTGAGTGAGGATGCGAGCGACTTTGCTGAGCTTTTCCTCATTCCTCTCCAGGTAACGGACGCCCTCAGCCTGCAGCAGGTTGAGCTTCTCCAGCCGACTCTCATCCAGGGAGATGTCTTCGTTCAGGAAAGGGTTGAAGCGGAAGTAAGTGTCCGGGGGAAGGAAGGCGTCGAGCATAGCGTGAACCTCTAGAGGACAGAAAGAAAGGTGAGAACCAAGCCACACACGTAACAAACTTGTAAACACTTCCTAATAGTTCCAATATGTGCCGACATTGGGCTAGTGTGTTAGGAGGGAAAAGGTCATGTAATGTCCCATCCTGTCTGTCAATGCAGTGACAGCCTTTCATGTGTCACTGAGTAAGAGCTCAGGGCTGCAAGTCTGAAGTTTTAAAAAAATGTATACAACTTGTCTGTCAGAACTGTTTTCAGCTCAGATGAATGCTTTGAAATTCAACAGCATTCAAACTCACATAAAGGCGGTGGTAACAAACGGGAATTTTCAGGGTGGATTCAAAAGGTCGACATGTTTTTCTGACTGTGCCCCACAGCAGGTCAGGAGTTTAAATGTCGAACATTATCAAAACTGGCTACCTCCAAGGCCTAGAACTCTAGAACTTTATCTAAGGAATAATCAAAGTTTTATGTACTTCCATTATGCTGTCAAAACCAATAAATGTGCTTTAAAAGTTCGACTCTGTAAAAATATATTTCATTTGCATCAGCCTAATAAAAAGACAAGATTGTCTTGAGAGATAATGTGGATAATTTCAGTCAGAAGCAGCGGGCTGCAGTGTGAGGCAGCCAAGTTCTCCTTTGATCACAATAATTGGTAGGATTTTAGCTTTTAGTCTGGACTTATCAGTATTTTGCAGAAGCAGCTACGGGCAGGTAAACCTCAGGACTGAAATGGCTGCTGCTCTGGATTCATTAACGTCAGACCTAGGGAGTATTTTATACACTGAAGCAAGAATAAAGAAGAGCAAAAAGGGGTTTTTTTCTAGTTGAAAACAATTTATTTCTGCTTCAGTTTTGCTTTAAATAGGAATTGAATTTTACCAACTGGCTTCTCTGACATTGGGTTGTTGATATGACTTGAACAGAATCACTAATAGTAGCAATAACAGACTCATAATAGAGTAATCCATTCATCCATGTATGTCCATTGTCAGGTCACAAGGGTAAAAAGTTCAGAACAGAAACCCAGAAGCCTTTCTCTCTAAATCCTCCTGGAGGTGTTCCCTGTCCAGAGAAAACAGAAAATCCTACCGGCGAGTTCTGGGTTTTCATCAGGGTCTCCTCCCAGTAGGTTGTGCCCCAAAAATCTTCAGAGGGAGGCGCTCAGGAGAGGCATCCTATTAAGATATCCGCACCACCTCAACTGACTTATTTCCATGCAGAGGAGCAGCAGCTCTACTCTAAGCTTTAGGCTGAGCCCAGCCATCCTACTGAGGGAGCTCATTTCAGTTTTTCATTCCAGGATCTCATCCTTTCAGTCATGAGCCACATCTCACGACCATATCTGAGGACTGGACCACACATGATTCGGACCAGTAAATCAGGAAATTGGTCTTTCAACTGACAAAATGTTTGTATTATTTGTTGTACCTCTGTTATTCAGGTCTGCAGACAGTGTTAAGTCAGTCATTACAAAACTGTTTTTCTGAATCTGGAGAAACTGCCTTCTGTATCTGTGCTCTAAAGAAGTATAAGTAACTTGTTCTAGACTTGAAATGATCAAATGATTAAAAAAATGACCAAACTGGTTGCATTCTTGAGCCCTGCTAGCTGTTTTCACGTCAGGTACAATCTTAGCTATGCAAGTGAGCTTTATGACATTCCATCTGGTGTGCTTTTTTTTTTTTTTTTGATCGTGCATGTGCACCACAAATGTGTACCTCTGTTTATAAGTAAAGGTTTGACTGAAATTTTCCAGCTGTTTCAGTGCAAATTTTACTAGACAGCTTTGTGAAATTAACCATGAGGTGCATGCATCAGGTTACAAGATGAGTGCCAATCAAGTACTTTCCATTAGGAAAAAAATGTTACAAAGTATGAATTGGCATGTTTTTTTTATACATAACCAAGCATGTCTTTGCATTGTCTGCAACTATACAAAAAAGGAAGCAATGTTACAGATTTGAGCCTTCAGCAGCCAGACATGGAGCCTTAAAGATAAAGAAAGACCCTTTTGCTCACAAAACACCCACTGTTTGTCCACTCAAACTAACCCCAGGACACACTTAGCATCCTAATTTGTAAACAAATAGGTTACCTTAGTAGCATTTCAGGACTGTCACATAGAATTTGTAAGTTTGGGAACACACAGCCACCTCATGAGAGAGCTAACCCAAGGTCATTTTTCTAAGACTTGTTTTTAACATCCACTGTAATGTTACACCGGACTCAGAAACAGTGTTTCCCTGTCCATTTGGTTGAAATTAGGAGCTATGATTGCATCTAAACTCCTATTTCAGCCTTATCTCTTCAAAACAAGAAACTGAGCTCCACTGATTCTCCTAAGACAAAGCAGGAGGCTTCTGAACACAGAGGGGAATTCTTTTCTGATAAAACACTCCGACTTATCTGCTGCTTCGAAACATAAAAGCATCTGTGGAAAGCTGGGGAGGTCTTAATTCCACATACAGGACAGGAGGCAAAAAAATAAGCAAGAGACAACTGGGTCACACGCTGCACCACAGGAGGGGGCCAAGACAAATTCAGGCACAGCAGAAAGGGCCCGTGTTGAGAGGTGATAAGGAGAGGGAAAAGTTGCTTCCACACAGGCCACAGCGAGATGAAAGCTGGACCAAGTCAACAAAAAGTGATCATTTCTGCACTGGAACTACAAATATCTAATTCTCCTACACAAAATATGTACAGGAGTATGACGTTTTGTACACCTAGGTTCTAGTTAAAGTTTAGGGAAATTAAACATACTCAGCATATTGAAACTTTGTAAATAAAAACTGTTAAAGTCACACCAGCTAATAATAGCTAAATTAACCTTATATTTTATGTTTTTGTCTTTAATGAATATGTAGGCTATTAAAAAGGCCCTCAAAATAATTATTACCAGGGGTGTCCTGATACCAGTTTTCCCTCAAACTGTGTACAAAAGCATTAGTTTGGGAACTTGCTGATAGAGTACTTGCTGAGTTAGAACTTAAACATTGCACAATGACTTTAAAAACATTTATTTTATTTAGAACAAAGTGTCTCTCTTTCCTTACTCTGACTGTTTCAAATCAAATATGCAGCATATGGTATATGCCTGATTAAACACTGGAAAAATAAAAATATTTATTGTTGCAACATTAAAAAAAATAAAAATATGATTTTCTTTCAACTTGTATAAATTTCTTAAACATGGAATTGATTAACTTTTCTTTTAAATGTAAATGAAGCATTAAAACCAACATCCCAGTATTGATACTTGTATTGGTATCATTCCTGAGAATCACTACTTTTTGTACAAGTACAAATACTTGTAAAAATGCTGGTATCGGTACACTAGTATTTTTTACTAAATCAGTATCGTAAAACTAACAAACTGACATAAGTACCAACTGTTGTCCTGAAAATGAGTAAACTGATCAGTATTCTATCATTTTCAATTCAGCAAAGTTCAGCTTTACAGAATACTGTGTTTTTTAAAGAATAAATCAGAGATTTTAAAGTGCTTGAAACAATCAATACCTTATCTGTTGTACATATCTCTTTGAATGACTTCAGCTTGAAAACAGTTTATTTTACAAGAATGTCAATCTAGTGACTAGTTTCAAACATAACTAAGACTGAAGTGGTTTCCTGCCGTCTTAAAACTTTGATTTCCATATTTTCATAGTAGTTCATGCCAATGATCCTTTACAGAGCTTAACACCTCTTTCAGGTTTGTGTCACATGATTATGCCAGAAGAAATATTTTGAAACTCCTGCAGCATTCAGGGTGCATTGGAAGTGCTACAGCTAGCTGCTAAAAGAGATTTTTGCGCTCCAGTTTGGTTTCAGCCACACTTGAACTAGTTCTCAAAGAGCTATTTTATAGTTACTGATGATTTTTACACAGAATCATGCTTTAAAATGTGTGACGCATCCCTTTAAGTATGTTGCCCTTACCCTCTGTATCTGTGGCGCTGCTGATGACGTTGGTAAGTTTGGTCCTGAGGCTGGTATATGTGGCGCTGTTCTTGCCAGCAGTTTCAATGCGGCCCGTTCCAAGCGAGACCACACACTCCAGGGGTGTGTTGGGCCACAAACACTTACACTCATGGATCGCAAGTGCTGTTGGGTTGTTCATCAGCAAACCTCCATCCTACGAACACAACAGAAGAAGTACTTTAGAGTATCTATTTACACGCAGTGAATTATCTTTTATACCACAACTGTGGTCAGAAAACCCAAATAATTGGTACTTGGAACCTAATTTTGTAAAATTGTAGCAGTAGTATTTTTTGGAAGATATTAAAAAAAATGAAAATAAGAAATAAGTGTACAGTTGAAGAGCTGCCTGAAAGTCAAACAAACGGCTAAATTGTTGTGTTTTCTTCCTCTTCTCCAGATTTTCAGCTTTGAAACCAAACAACCACCCAGGAGTGTTTTTGCTTTGAATCCATATTGTACCCAAGGCGGTGGGGGGAGTAACTGTAGAGGCTGTGGGGATTGTTGAATAGGCATGAGACTGAGGGGCCGCAGGGCTGAGAGCTGGCAGCAGGATCAAACACCCCGGGGCCAATCCTCATTAAAGAAGCCCGACTGGGCGAGGGGGAGTGGGGGGTATAGGAAATGGGGTGCGGTGGGAGCTGCAAGGCCCCCCAAGTGTCTTGGGACCCAGCAATGTGACTGGGTGTATGAGGAGATTTGAGCGAGAGCCCAATCTTGCTTTGAATCTGTGTAGACAAAAATAAAGTAGGTATAACAGACAGCGTATGTTACACGGATTTACACACATTGAGTGAAAGAAGGGGGGTGAGAGGTTCATTTCTCCAGCACATGGTAGCACAGATGCAGCCAAAATAGAGAATATACAGCCCAAAATTACCTGATATGGACTGCAAAAATCTCTCTTTAATCCAAACATCAAGGGGGAAAATGAAACGACAAATGGTAATCTGTAACTGGGGGGAACATCAAATGAACACTGAAAGCAGATCCTTTGTGAAAAACTTCACCAAGCAGATTTCCAAAGAGAGGAGGCATTGGGAACAATAGTTCATCGTTAGATAAGAGTCAGACAAAGCTAAAAGGCTGCAGACAGTCACAGATTTATTATAACAACCCTTCTCACAGCAGTCTCTGAGCTGTTTGTTGCTACATACTGACATTTTCAAAATGGTAGAACCAAATAATGGTATAAAGCTAACATTTCAAATTTATGGTTTTATATTAATTTTATATTTATAGGTTATGTTTCATTTAATCTATTATATCATTCAGTTTAAATAAAACAGTGAAATATTACAATTCTGCTTTTTGTCTAACTGCTCAAGTTCTTATCTGTATTCTGACACAGTTTGTTGCTGATTAGGTCAAGAACATGAGATGGAACTTTTCGATCCAAAAAAAAGTCACTTCTTTTTGTGAGGAGGCGGGGCTTTGATGATGCCATATGACCACGTGGTATGGTCGGGCATGCAACATGGATGACTCATACCCAGTTTAGTGTGTTTTAGCCTTTCTATGTGAAAGTTACAGCTTTCTGAAATTATAATGGTTGGACAGACGCATTTCTGTCCCCCGCCTCGGCGACGACAAACAAAAATAGCAACATGTTTGGAGAAAATGTAAAGATGATCATGACTATAAGGAAACTAAATATTTAATAATGTATCTAAAACGTGAGTATAAAAATTTTATTAACTTATTTGCACACCATCATCTTTGTGTGATGTGAGTTTGAAGAAGTGATTTGTCTCTGATAAAATAGTCTGATTAATTTTCGACCGACCTCTAAGTTAGGTAACACAATATTTGTTTTAGTGAGAGCCAGACCTCACAGTCCAGCTGGCTGATTAGAAAATCATACAAGGAGGGCTCAGCTTTGTCACAAGGCACATCAACATGCACCAGCAGCTTTTCTAGCAAAGACAAAGATGAAGGACAGAAGAAAAAAAAAGGAAGGAGGGAGGAAAAGCTTAGGCTGAAAAAGCTCCTGATGGAGATTTCAAAGTGACTTACTGCAGTGGGAACCAGACTAACCCAGCTGGAAACAAAACAACTAAGCAGTTTTCTTATCACTAACTCGCCCTGTGTGAGGCTTTTTTGTTTTCTGAACTTGGTGTCAATTAAGGCACTGGTCCTAGTCCAGTTATGGGCTCTTTGTGCGGATAGCTGGAGGCCAGTTTCACAGAAACACTGGTTTGTTTGACACCCTGTGCTGAGGCATGTAACATTACAAGCCTATGCGTAGTGGTCTTGTGAGGTGGGAGCAGAATGCTGTAACATTTCACAGCCTGTGAAAAGTCTGTTTTTTCCCCAGTTAAGAAAGAGTGTGTTATATGCTTTATTTTAAAGGAGAAAGGGCTTACATCTGCCTTTTTTTCCCTCCTCAAGCATCATGACCAAACTAGTTTTCTTCATATAGACGGTAGCAGGCCAGAGATGCTGCTCTGGTAGACTTTTGTCTCATTTAAAGACACTTTTAGTCATGTTTCCATTCCCTGGACCACTGCCACATCATCACACAATAGGTGCTTTTTGAAGGCCAAAGCATATTTGAACAAGAAGTGAAATTAGAAACAATGAGCTACTTAACACAAACTACCATGAGCTTTGCATACAGAAATCTCCAGCTGAAGCCGTCTGTCAAGAACGCTGCGTGGCGTGAGGCAAAGGTTACTTCCATTTCTAAGGATTTAGAGGACTAATGCTTCTCAAACTGTTATTTGTCATGTGTCACTGGATAAATATCTACAGGGGGTACATTCCTGTCAAAATGTAGCTTTCTGATGGATGTTTAACCCCTTTGAGGTTAGATTTCTATCAGACAGAGAGGAATTCCAACTTTGAATTCTGGCTTCCACAAACACTCAATAATTTCCTTCTGACGGCATCTCTTGATAGAGAACTCTGTATTTACTGTGGCAGAGGATGAAGGCCCTTTAAAGTCTAATAGCTAATGCTCTTTGTTTCTATTTTTTGCAAAGAAAACGCTCCCTCATCCCAGCAGATGTGCAGGACGAGGGACATTATTTGAATTGTAGTGAGCCTGAGGCTCAGAGATGTAAACAGCATCATTTGAGTTATTGTGAGAGCGAGGTCTCTTATTCAAAGATGCAATTACCCATGATGCCTAGCGACCCCATAAGTAGGCTCCCTAGCCTGGCCTCCTTCACTTTTCATCGTCACGTGTGATTGTCATCAAAGTTTTAAAAAAGGGAGGGTCTCAGCAAACCCCTAAATCTAACTAAAAAAGTGGTGGGTGTTCTCTGAGCCTCAGGCTCACTACAATTCAAATAATGTCCCTCATCCTGCACATCTGCTGGGATGAGGGAGCATTATTTTTCATTTACGTTCGCCTTCGTCTCAGAGACGTAAACAGCATGTTCAAAGCTGATGACAATCACACTGCTTGTGTGGACTATTCCACAGGATTCAACCACATAACCTCAATGGAGATGCATTCCAACAAAATTTATGTTAAGAAAGAAAAATGCAGATCATCTGAAATGACAACTCAAAATTCTGTCCGAGAACTTAGTCCCTTCCCCGGACTCTCGGTAGTAAAACTTTTTAAACGTATTAGCTGAAGTCAAATCTGCGGTCCGTAAAAATCTGTTTCAGTGAAACGCCACTGTTAAATGCTGCTGAAACAGAAGCTCCTCTGTAAGAGTGGGGTTTAAAAACAGTCACATCAATTCCTGCATTAACGAGCACTGTCCGTAGCCATCTGGCTATAGTGCATGTAGACACCGCAGAAAAAGTCTTGTATGAAATCAACAATCTACTTGACATCCTTAGCTCCCAAGTGCGACAAATACAGTATATTCAAACAATGTGTCCAATACACAAATTTCTGGTTTAGAGTATCTCTCCAGAAGAATCTCCTGAATCGGTTTGCCCAACTTACTTGTTTTAGTGAGTTCATAAATTAAAAAATTCACTTTAGAGTGATCGTCTGCTACTCGCAGATAACTTAAATCTAACGATACCAGTGTCTGAGCTCTCGCTGCTGTGACCAATGCCAGCAATGCTGTAAGCTTCAATGTCAAATCTTTCAAACTTAAACTTTGATGAGGAAACGAAGATAAATAAGTCAAAATACTACTGACATCCCATGTCCGAGTGTAACGAGGCCTCGGTGGCCATAAATGATATAGTCCTTTCATGTACCTGGGCAACCACCTAGGATTCAAGACCCAAGTAGCACCTAAAACATGTAAAGTCTGAAGTATGCATGATTTATGAGTGTTAATCACTGTGTATGAGCTCCCACTCTCTTTAAGAAAGTCCAAGTATGCAATCACTGTGGTTTCAGTCGCTTCACTGGCACAGCATGATCATCCAATAGTCCAAACAAGGAATTTGCGCCACGCATACAAATACTGCTTCTGAGTTCCTGGTCGCCAGCTGGAACAGATATCAATGACTGAGTCCTGAAGTCCCTGATGTTTGAGGGCACTCCTGATACTTTGCAGGCGGCGATTATCAGCCATCTCCGAAGTGGGTGGAACTGGGTCGGGTCGTGTGAAGCCACCAGGAGATCGTTGTGACGTGGAAGCCTAACAGGAAAATCAATGAGCATCAATCAACAAAGGGAACCAAGATGCTGTTCTCCATAATGGAGCAATAATAATAGCTCTTAGAACTCTATCCCTCCGGATTTTCATCAACACCCTACTTAACATACAGAAAGGTGGAAAGATGTATGGCTGATGATTTGTCCAGGAAATGGAGAAAGCATCACATGCACAGGCCCCAGGTTCAAACCTCCAAGACACAAATTTATCAAGTTGAGAATTGTGCCTATTAGCAAACAAACCTATGTCTGGGACAAAAAAACGACAACAAATTCTAGAAAATATCTCAGGTTTTGGTTTCCAATCTGAACCATCTGAAAACACTCTAGATAGTGTGTCTGCCACTGAGTTATGTTTCCCAGGCACATGCTGTGCGGTAATAAAAATGTTTCTGTCCATGCACCAATTCCAGATTTGTGCAGCCAGGTTATCCAACTCTTCTGAGGCCATGCCCCCCATGTCATTAACATAAGCCACTGCAGCTGTACTGTCAGATTGAATGCATACATGAATATCACAAGATTGACTGAAAAAAGCCTTAAGACAGAGAAACACACTGAACAATTCCAGAAAATTA